AATAAGTGTTTAGCATGTAAGGGCGGTAACATGAGCAATTTGTCTAAACATTTATCAAAAGTGCTCCACATTCAGACGCAGGAATGCACCGGGTTCGACTGTCTTTCTTGTAGCTCTGTAGCCCCCCCATCCACGAGTAACGTTTCCACGTCAGGTGTTATGCTAGCAGCAACACACGCAGTTAACTCAATGATACAAACATGGGTTAATGATTAGAGGAAACTGAGTTATTTATTTAGTTAAAGTTTCAGCTATTCTGTTTACAGTCTGTCATCAGATTATTTAATACGATTTGTTAAAACATTGTTGTTTCTTTTGATGTGAAATATTATTTATTTTATTTAAATAAAAAGCAATGTTAATTTTGTTCACAATATGTTAAGTTAATTTAATAATATATGTATTTTTGAATCAAGTATTAATCTTTATTGTCTTCATTGTTTCCACATGCCTAAAACAACCTCAAGCTAAATCTAAAAGTTGATGGCTAAATAAGAACGCTTGAGAAATTGTGCAAGGCATACAGTAATAGTCCGAATAGTTGATTAATCGTTTCATTAATCGATAGATTAATCGATTATCAAATGAGTCGTTTGTTGCAGCCCTATTGTAGTTATCCCATGTATAAATAAAACGTGTTATTCAGCAACCCTTGCAATTTGGGATATTATTTTGGTTGGTAGACCTCGGTGAGCTGGTCATTTCAAAAGTAGCTCACCAGCCAAAAAAGTGTGGGCACCCCTGATCTAACCCCTCGATTCCATCGGGTCTGTCTGCGTCGCGTCACGGCTGCGCCACGGTTTTGGTCCGGGCTCCTCCGGCGTCATACCCTACCGGGCGCGTTTCAGAAGCATTTCAGAAGCGGAGCGTCTTGCCTGCCGGCTCGCAGTTTTTGTTGATTTGGGCATATTTCCTGGACAGGCTACTTTGTACAGACAAAGTTAATAATAATTGTAATATCCCAGTTATAAACGACATGAATCAAAGATGTGTTGCTGTATTTTAGTGGTAAAAAAATGCATTCATCATCATAAATAATTTACACAGTGCCTGTAAACCGGAGGAGAATGTTGGCATTTCTCCTCCTACTTGAAAGACTACGGAGGGATAGGGTCTGCAACATTTTATTTTGGGGATGGGCTGGATGCTCTGACCATTCCACTTCCTGCCCGGCGCCTCTGCAACGTGTTGAAAATATACTTGCATCCTATTTTGAGCGGAGCCCAGCGTCGAGACGCTTCTGGGACGCTTCTGAGCCGTAACGCGGCGCGTCTGGTGGCCGTAACACGGCCGTAACACGACGCAGACGGACCCGGTGGAATCTAGGGGTAAGTTTCAAGTAAAACTATAGCTTATCTTCCAGTGCATTATCGTGGCCTTTAATTCATTCATTTACATTACTTTCATTCTTTAAATGCAGTTGGTGGACACCTGATTTGGCAATCAAAAATACCACGCTTTTAATTCATTTATTCAATTAAAACAGCATTTGATAACTACACTATTCTGTAGACCCAGTTTATCATTTAATATGGAATCCATAGGCTTGTATTATTGCCTGTATTATATACTTTGAGTGTGTCTGAGTGTACAGGGAGCTCTGTGCTTCGCTCAGCATCAGCAGGTGTGTACTGCCATCTAATGGACATTTCTGAAATGACAAGTGCATCTCAGACAGACTGACAACTACTTGGTTATCTTACTCTGCCTAAAACAGGAGCTAAAATATAAAAATGCAATATTCACTAACAAAGACTACTACACAGGAACCAACAGGATCAATTAACGATAGAGCCAACATTTTTAAAAACATCATGAAATGTACTTCTAATATGCGGAAGAGAAATCAAACTGGACAGCAGAACTCAGAGTGTAGTCTAAAGAGGCAGGATAATGTGTGCAGGATAATTAACACAGATGTATGTAAAGTTCATAACTAATTTGCAACAGATTAAAAAATGCAATCAGTCCCCAAAAAATACGCAATCAGCCCCACTAAAAACACATAATAATGTCTTCACCACTAATGTGCCATCCTTATACAGTAGCTAAATGTCATGGGTAATTTCAGCAAATATCATTAACATATTTAAACAATAATTCAGAGAATGAGTGCAAAAACACTTTGTTGTATCAAACTCAAAAAGAAAGGGAGAATAAAAGTCACACAAGGTCGAAGCTACAATAACATCTATTGGAACTAATGCCAACTGCAGATTTGAATATTACATAAATAAATATTGTAATAACACGGTACTATGTCCTGTAGCAACAATAAATGGAGCGCAGGTTTAAGTATATTGTTAAGTAAAACACATAAGAGCTCATTGTATTTGTGATATTTAGGAAGTTTTGATACTATGAAGACCAATTTCAAATCACAAAATTAAAACTAATATATACAAAACTGATAACTCCCTATATACTGTATGCTTTACTCCAGTGAAAAAACTGAAAATCATCGAGTGCATGAATTTTGAGTATTTGATAAATTATTTATAATGTTCATGTTCTTGTTACATGGGTACTTAATAATTTACATAGTGTTATTTCTCTTGCACACACACACATAATCTGCCTATAAACAGCTGTGTACGCATGACTCAACTCTGGGACTGATTTATGATGGCAGCTTCAATTTCAAACCAGTTCCGACATATTCAAACGCACAGATTCTCCGAACGCCAAAACATTCTCCATTCCCTCGCCGTTTTCGATTAGCAAAGGGTAAAACATTCATGGAGTCATCGTGTAGCTTGTGAATGTAGAGTTATTTGAAGCTGTATAAATAATGGAGGTATGCTGTCTTGCAATCAACTCTCCCTCAATTGATTCTATGTTGTTTTACTACATATTATTTTCTACATTTTCTGGTTGTGGGATTAAAGTCAGTGTGGCTCCAAATAAGGGAAGGCTGCTCCACCTGGGTGTCTCCATTGATTTGAGATTGAAATACATTAGTCTAGTTAGTGTTACAGAGGGAGGACGGTGGCTTTTCAATGTGTGTTCTTGTCCATACTAGTGTCTTTGTGTCTTGATACCCCTTTTCCACCAAGGTGGTAACAGGGCAGGTTTGGAACCGGTGAACCCTTTTTCGTGTTTCCACTGCAGCTTTCAACCCAGAAAACTGGTTAAACTCGAACAGACTATCTTCTCAACCCGCACCAAAAACCTAAAGTCTTGAAGGTCAGAGGCTGGTGCGTGATTAGTCTAAACAACAACTGTTCATGCAAGTACGGCAAAGAGTAGAAAGTTGTTACAGAAGCAAAAAGTCCCAAGACCACCAACCAACTCATAACCACCCGAATTGATGTCTTACAATACTGAAGGTTTAATTAAAAGATTGGCCGAGAAAACAAACTGTCATTACAAAACAGCTTCACTGTCAGTTCTGCCAAACTCTCCCCCTCGATGCATATTTCATTAGGCTGGTCATAAATATATATTCCTTGAGTTAAGACATGTCTAAACGCCAAATATAAAGGCGCCACCTCAAGATTAGGATGGATGGCAAAGCTGTTAGTTTGCCTGTTGTGCTCTAGCTGTGTCCTAGGATCTAATTAAATGTTGTCTAAGTTTGTATATTGTTGTACAGGCCAGTGACCAGGAGGTGGCACAATAGGTCATAATATCATATGCATCACAGCCAGAACTGTGATAAAGTAAATACAAATGCATTTCAAAGAGGACATATTCTTGTCATTTTCAGATTCATATTTGTATTTAGTGTCTCTCCTGGGACATGTCTCCATGCTTTAATGTTCACAAAGCTCTTTATTTTCTCATACTGCCTGTGCTGCAGCACCTCTTTTCACCCTCTGTCTGAAACCAGAGCCCAGTCTGATCTGATTGGTTAGCTGGCCGGCTCTGTTGTGATTGGTCAACCGCTTAGAGCTGTGTCTGATAAGTCCCACCCCTTAGCATATCTTGTAAAATGTGTTGGAGCACTAGCCAATAGAATTGGCATGTTTTTTAAGGGCATGTTGTATGTCATTGCTTTAAATTACATGGAAAAATCACAATGTTAAATGTATTGTCTCTCACTAACCTTTGTTACAAAAACTCATTCTTAAATTCTAAATGAACAATTATCCTACTTCGGTTGACAAGCAATGGTAACCTTTAAATGCTTTTAGTTTACTCCTGAGTTTAAAAGTCCCATGTCATGCTTTTCTGGTTATTACCCGTCCCCTTGTGTGTTATGAAGGTTGTTCTACATGTAAACGGTCTGCAGAGTCACAAACCCTCAAAGTACACCCTGTAGCGAGTAAAACTCTAACACAGAAAATACCTGTCTATGCTGCCCCAGAACGCCTCGTTGGAGATTTCTCTTTTTCCATTTTTTACTTCCTGGGTACAGTGACGTAACGACGACCAAATGGACCAATTTGTGGAGCTCCTCACACACACTCACTCAGCCTTATCTTTTCTCAGGCTGTTGTGAGTGTGTGTGTGTGTGTGTGTGTGTGTGTGTTCAGGCTGAGTTCTGCGGTGTCTCGCTGTCTTGCAAATCCCACGCAGCAACCAGGAAACGACACCAGTAATCCAGCTCACACTGTCCGCTCCTCGAGCCTCAAAGGGCGAGCAGCGAGCCCCGCAACGTCCCACCAACACGGCAGCCAGACCTCACGCAGCATTCTCATCTGTTTGTCATTACTGGTGTCATTTTCTGGTTGCTTACAAACGCCATTGTAACACATAAACACATCAGAGCACACTGGGCTCACAGGGAGGGGGGCAGGAGCTCCAACAAGGCGTGTAGGACAGAGAGTGAATACACATACTATACAGAGATGCTGTATGAGAAACCATTGTGAGTTTGGAACATTGAACAATGTAAATCTATTCTAGTAGACCTCAACAATGGAATTATGATCAGTAGAAATGGCCATGTCATGGGACCTTTAAACATTTAAGACTACCTTCAGGAAATGTAGACATTTCATAACTGTTCATGTTTTTTTATTACTTGCATTTAGTGGTGCATTTTAACAACTCACCGATAAGGCTTGTCAGAGTTATGAATCCGACGGTGGTTCCTCACGCCGACATAAGTGGAGCTGGTGTAGTCGCACACATCACACTTATACATATTCTGCACACCACATTCTGTAAGAGAGGACAATTCATTTAAAAATGAAATGAAGCATGTGGCAACACAAGGAAAAGTCGCATTGGAGAGCAAACTGGTTTGTGTCATGAAATGATTGAAATATATTGTAATCATTTCTTACCATCCTAACACATAATGGGGTTAGGAAAGCAGATCTTACCATCATCTGTGACCCGCTCAGCATCCTCCACCATGGAGACAGTTTCAGTGACGGGGGTGAGGCCGGACATGTCCTCGCTGAAGCTGTGCTGCTCCCTCTCATGGCTCCTTAACTGACTCTAGGAAAGGGAAACACACATATCCAGCATGAGATGGCAGTACATGCCGTCAACTACCCAACTGCAAACTTATGAGGCTGGCCACTTGAGACGAGGAAAATTAAATACAGACAAAACATGATCATTCATAATGGTTTCCCCATTTATCGAAAACATTTGATTTTGCCTCTGTAACGTGACAAACTAATGTCTTCTATTGAATAGTCCTTACACAGCAATATATCAATAATCAGATTGATTTTAGAAACACAATATGGCCTTTCCCTGGTTTAAAATCAATCAGAATACTTTTTTTTTTAAATTTATCCCAGGGGAAATGTTGGTTTAGTGACAGTTGCTGCATTTTAGAGTGAAATAAAATATAAAATGTAATAAAAAATATAAAATAAATAAAAAATATATGATGAAATAAATATATTAACAAACAGAAAAGGTTACAGTAAAATATCCATCAAAATGTTAAAAAAAATGGATGTCGTCTACATATTATTGTTCCACCTGGTATCTGCAGATTTACCACTGCTTGGCAATCAGTGCTATATACGACATTCAGAGTGCACGGCTCTCTCCTCTGACATCACAAGCAAACATGGGAGTGGTTGGAAGCACTTCAACTGCTACCAAAAGCTGACAGTGTCAACCTGAATGGGAACCAGAGGGTTGGCATTATGCTTTCGTAAGAAGAGCAGTACGTGTTATACGAGCGCAGAGCGACGGCGATAAGCTAGAAGTTAGAATCTGCTCAAAATGCCATTACACTTATATTTTTCAGATTATTTTTTTTACGCTATATTAGTATTCTGCATGATGTGTAGAAGGTCAAATTATTGTGGTAAAATGACCAAAATAAGTTCCTAAAACCCATCAAATCTGTTTCTTTCCTTTAACCAAAAGCCCAAACTCATTAAGACATGGAAATTAAATGAGTAAATGTACAAACTGCAGGTTTTTGGAAATATCTACACCCTTCTACCCTAAGCCAGCGTTAAAAAAAAATCTGGGAATACATAAAGAATGTCCCCAGACAGGATAGGGCATCTCTTTCTATTTTACTATAATGAAGACCTGGGAGGCCAATTCAGAGTACAACATCAGCTGTTTCAATGGCTTCTATAACGCTAAACATTATAATATACTATTAAACAATCGTACAAATGAAAAGCTGTGTGAACGTTGTCTCCTCACCTTGTAGTGGAAGGCATCTGGGCACTGCTTGCACTGGTACATCCTGGTCTTGCAGTGGTGTATCATGTGGCTCTCCAGGTCCTTGCTGTCTAAGGCGATGTGCTCGCAGATGGGACACTGATAGGGCTGTCTCTGCCTGTGCACCCGGAGGTGCTGTTTGATGTACCCCTTATTGCCGCTGCTGTAGCGACACAGGCGGCACCTGTACGGCCTTTCATTTCCGGGGATGTAGTCCACCAGTCCCCCGTCAGAACTTGCCACCAACCCGTCCATTCCGGGAATGCTACACATGTAGCTCCCCGCTCCGTTTCCTGTCCCCACACTCTCCACAGCTCCGTTATGGAACTGAGCGTTGTCCTGAAGCTCCTTTAAGATATCCTCGTCGGAGGCGTTCTCGTCCGAGCGTTCTCGGAGTCTCTCGATGACGGTTAGCAATGACAGGCTGATTCCCGCTTTAGTGGCAGGGCCCTCCTCGTCTCCCTCCCCCAGGCACAAGGACCCCAATTCTTCTTCTCTGGCCTCGCCGTGAAGCTCTAAGTCCAACAGAGCTGCGGTCGTCTCCGCGTCAGAAGTCCTCTGTGTCTGGGCTGTGCTGGTCCTAAGACTTACCTTTGTGCTGAAGGGGGGGGGCTCGGTGGTCCTCATAGGCATAGCTACCAGGACCTCAGCCGCCAGAGAGTGCAGGCGCAGAGACTCAGAATGTGTCCTCTTTCGACCAGCTGGGGGAATGTTTTCATCCCGTGGAGAGTCGCTACCCACAGCAATAGACGGTTTAAAATCTGCTACTAAAGGTATGCTGTCAGGAGTGCTACCCAGAATGCAGCTAGACACTACTTCACCCTTTGCAGCTCCCACATGGCCCCGCTCCTCATTCGCATCCAATGAGTTATTCTCCCTGTCCACGTGCGGGCTAAGAAGAAGCGGGTTGGTCGCCATGACGGAATCCTCAGCTGAAGGAAGGCGTTCCACGATCACGTTGATGTGTCCGGCACTGTTGGGACTGCTGTTGATGATCTTCTGTGCCGATGACAGTAAGCTGTCCGTGACGAAAGCGCTGTTGTGGTGATTATCGATCTCCACCTTGGCGTCTGCCTCCGTCGTCACCTGCTCCTCTTTGATAGGGTACACGCTTTCCTCCTCTTCCATTTTCAAACTTTCTTTGAGATCGGAAACTGGACGATTCAAGGCGTCATGTTTATTCTCAGCATTCATTGGCTCGCAGAGCTGGAGCTTGAAGGCAGTGGGCAGCTTTTGGAGGCTTTTATCTTGAGGAACTGGTGAAAGAAAGACTATTTCCTCTCTGGTTGCAGCACTGTTAGGTGCAGGCTGGGACTCTTTCCTTGAGGTATTGCTATCTTCACCCTCGAAGATTGGATAAGAACAATCCACCAAGCCGGCATGCTTCCAGGCGTGAGTTTTGAGCATTCTCTGCTGACTGCAAACATAGCTGCAGATCAGACAGCGATACAGCCCATACTCCTCGAAGCTATACCACTTCTTCTTCTGCGGGAGCTCTTTTGAACCGTCCAATGGGCTACTATCGTTCCAGTCCCCATCCTGCGTTCTTAAAACCTCCTCCTTGCCCTCGCTGTAGGTATCAGACAAATTGCTCGTCAGGTTTCCTCCGTTGTCGAAGTGCAGCCTGACGTGGGCCTCCAGCTGCCCCTGGTCTCTACAGGTGAAGCGACACTCGGAGCACATGAGGATGAGGTCACTGTGCTGCTCGTTGTGGTGCTTAAGGTGCTCTTTCAGCATAGGCAGTGTCTGGGAGAGGTAGGGGCACAGGCTGCACTGATAGCAGGTCACCGTCCGTTTGTGGTCGCCACTGTTGGGGTTGTTTGACGCCTCCATTAATGTGATGTTGTTGTTATGGTCACCTTCTATTCGCACCTCTTCTGCGTTATCCTGCACCTTACAGTTTCTCTTAACTTTCTTTACAGGAGAGCCACCTCTGCTCCCTCTCGCCCCCTCCTCACCTCCTCCCCCTCTTTTCTGTCCCGCCATGGTGCAGCGACGCTGGGGCCGCTTCTCCACGATTTTGCTGAGCTTCTCGATGACCTGGATTAGAGAATCTGCCGCTCGTTTCTGCTGAAGACTCTGGGAGGCGTCTTCCTCCACAGCATGCTGGGCTACGGGCTGAGAGAGAGATCCCAGTGCTGACGGAGCAGAGGAGGAACAGGTGGTGGAGGAGGAGTGTGTGATGACCTCCTCCATGACCTGGCAGACAGCAGGGGAGAAAGACATTGTTAACTGCTTGGAGTTATAGATTGTGCACTGGATTTAAACAGATTGATATACTGAAATGTATGAACACATTATTTAAACTCACAAACAATGTCAATGATTTTTAAGACGTAGGTAACGTGGACCAAATTATCCAGATGATTTTTAAATCGATTATCTGTCTACGTAACGTAAATGATTACTTTGTTTTAGTATGGGATAACATTCTAAGAAAGGAAAGTCCTCCTCACAGTTTGTCGTAGTGACAATGACATCTTCAAATTGCTTGCTTTTCAAAGTTATCAGTTTACGATAAATTAATAATCGACCATTTTTGCAAGCCTTAACATTTAAGTATGTGTGGATGCTTGGTAGATCAAATAATTATTGTTATTATTTGAATTATGATTAGCGAAACAGTTACACATTTTCTTATGGATTCATTTCATAATATTAGATATTGTCAAGCATCTATAGAAACGACGAACAATAAGAGTTTGTAACTCACAAGGGTTAATATTGACTTGACAAAAAATTGCTTTGGCTCACATTCACATTTTAAACTATATGTTGTCAACCCTTATCTTAACTTTGCAATTAAAGAATTCAGTATTTCAAATCAAGTAGTCATGGTGACTTTTGAAAACGTATTTTACATTCATATTCACTACGTTTCTGTTCTGCTTCTACCACAACTTACACTACTGTGCGTTGCAACATTTTAAAAGGAATTTAAGTAAAAGGCATTGCGAGCATGTTTTCTAATGCCATGCATTTACATAATGTGTTATGTTGCTGTACTGCACCCTAAGGCCAGGCTGATGAAATAGGGAGAAACGTTTGCAAACACATGTTGCATGTTAGCAAACTGTATGCTTGCTTATAAGCATGGAAGACTGTGTATTTTGAGAACTGATCATGTGATTTCATGTTTCACACTTTTTATGTTTATCAAAGCACTCTTTGTGCGGCTCTTTGTATCAAACGTTTTCTACAGTGAAAGTAAAGCATTTCAAAATCTAGCTAGAGTCTAACAGTGACTCTATTTCTAGTATTGACCTTTCTATTAAGGGGGGGGTAGTAGTAGTAATCAGCAGCGAACCGCTTCAACACGTGTATTTCGGTTTATTCACTGCATTCATTTTGTTATTCTACCGTATTGTTGTTTTATAGTTATTTGTTAATGTATATAACCCAATTTATGTTCTTTGAAATTGAAAAGGATATTGCATTGTGTTTGTTACTTTCGTTGCAGTTGTATATGTCTTAAAGTGGACCTATGATGCTATATTTGAATAATATATTGTAGGGCCATACCTATATAAAACATGTCTGCAAAGTTTTTTTTTCAAAATACCAAACAGATCATGCATTTTAGCCATGACTCATTTCGCTCCATTTGCTCTTTTTTAGCCCTGTTTTTGCAGGGGCTGAATCTGTGAGAAGTCTTCTTCGCTGCTTTTGTGGCAGACTACAGCGCCACCTACAGGCCTGACATATGTACTACAGCGTCTCCAGCGCTTTCGAGTGGCAATGGCCGGCCGTGGCCCAACCCCACATTCCCCTGATAGGTGGAGAGTTGGCCATATAGGCGGCGCTCCTCGTTCCTGACGTCAGAGAACTTTCAAATCTGTATCAGTCTGTATCAGATCCGTTGCAGCCCCGTTTTTAGAAATGTGGGTATGGAGGAAAAGAGAGAGGGTTGTGTTTTCTGACACTTTAAGTGTAATTTGGCTTGCCTTCCTATATTTTATGGACATGCTTTTATTTTGAAGGAGAGTTAGCGCTGTTGACAGGAAGTTGTCGTTGCTATGGAAACAACGTGACGGAAATTAACGGAGAAAAGTCATATCTACATATAAAGATGGAGAAAGTAAACGATAAAGTGTATGGTTAAGTGTTAGCACCCCCCGAAGAGGCACAAGCTCTTACGTTGATATTGAAGATTTTAATCAATTCAATAAAAAAAACGAATAACGAAATTGAAACCCGAATAGTACTACAACGAATGAATATTCGGATATTCGGGTACAGCCCTAGAAAATAAGATGTCTTTTTTCTTCATTTTTCTATTTTACAGTATTTAGTGAGGGAGTTTATAAAAGGGAAGTAACACAAAAGACTTGATAAGCGTGATAGCTTAACTCATTTAATATAAACGCTGTCCTTGCAAACATGTGCATTTGTTTACATCTCAGCTTGAGGGAAAGTGTCACAACTCCTGTGGTTAAATTCCTTTTATCTGTGAATCCAAAACTTCCCTCCTCCTCACTTTTTAACCTCAAACTGCCTTCCTCTTTTCCTACTTCTGCTTCTGTATGATGATCAAAACAGTAAAAAGGATACACATTCAGAGAAGGGTAACCACATGCAATAGTTGTTATGAAGCTATCCTCCAGCTTCATTCAGAAATATGTGAGCGAAGCTACACAAGTACTTGAGTAAATGTACTGTACTTAAGTCAAATTAGTATTTGCATTTTATGCTACATTGTAATTCTACTCCACTACAATTCAGAGGTAAATATTGTACTTTTACTCCACTACTCTTACATAGTACCTACATAGTTACTTTACAGATATGGATTAATAAATATAAAAAACATATAATCAACTCTTAAGTAAGACCTTAGTTACACCTGGAATACATTCACATGCTACCTAGCAGTAATACAAGTTCCACATGTACAAGTTTGATAAACAAATGAATACATCAAGGATTATAATGAAAATATACACTACATATGATTCTGAAATGGGGCAATCTGCATAACGAGTAGTACTTTTACTTTTTTAAGTTTATTTAGAGATCAATACTTTGGTACTTTTACTTGAGTAACATTTTGAATACAGGACTTTTACTTTTAACAGAGTATTCATACACTCTGGTATATTTTACTTTTACTTAAGACCAACATATGTACTTATTCCACCTCTGAATAGCACTTTTATTGGAAACGCCCTCATCAACGCATCTTAAACCTACTAAATTAACAACTTATAGTCAGATAACAAAGTGTGTCACTTGTGGAGATAGCAGCTAGGCGGTGGTTCATATGGTTCACTTTGTGGTCAGTTTAGCCTCTCTGGACTCTCATGAGGTTCAGCCGGTTTCAGATGAGCACCTGTTATGTCAGAATCTAAAAATATTTCATCCACTCTCAGTCCCCTGTAGAATGAGGGGGACAGCTCCTACAGAAACCTCGAGTAGCAACTAGGCTAAATGTACTACTGTTAGCTGACATGCTAATGCTGCTACGACAATCAAGCCAGTTCAACATGAACAAATACATTTAAGTAAACAGGAAACACTATTAGCTTCACAGTTAGCTTCATAGCCTGCTGTTCAAACACAAACACACACACACACACGAGTCCACACACGTTGCTAGCACCAACACCCACAAGTACAAGGACATTTTTACTGTGTTTTCAGTTAATGTGTGACGCAGAAGCGCGTGGCTCTGTTTTTAATAAAGATATACTCACTGACACGGAAAGGCTCGATGCTCTTTGTCCTCAACACATAAAACTGCTTTGAATTATTCGTCAGCCATAAAAAGTGGCCTCCCTTTCTCCCACATTGCAAAATGGCGAGGATGGAATATCAGTCACGTGACCTGGAGTTTGGTCAGGTGACCAATGCGGACCGCTGAATGACAGGTTCCCTGGTGATATCTTCAAGTTCTGCTCGTAAAACACCGCGTCGTGTTTTCGAACAAGGAAATTATTACGTTTCCGAAATGATTATCATCTACTGCGCAGTTAGGCTACAAAATCAGACATACAATGTATACACAGACAGTAATCAAGTATCATTTGGAGCAGGATTAAATCAAATCAAGGATTTTTCAAACAATTTGTCATGACTTTGAGGGGTTTGAGTGAAATTGTACAAATAAAGTGCCCAGTATTGCCATTGCGAATAAAACAGACACAATTAAAATGAGGAATAATGTAACCAAGTAAGATGTATGCTCTTAATTATTGATATCATTTCAAATTATTATCGAGCAGTGAGTTTTTTCAAAAGTGAATAGCTTTCTTAATGGGCTTTACTTAAAATGCCCAAATTAAGCTTTGGGTGTAGTTTTTTCTATACATTTTATTTGTAAATGCACCCCTTCTATGTCCTCCCCTAATAAAGCTGCATGGCCTATAAACGTTAGCATGCAACAATCGATCTGTTTTTTCTTAGGTTAAGAAATTAAGTTGTGTAGATAACTTTAATGATATAATAATTCAAACGGGTGCCGTTCATAATGGCAGCCCACTGCTCCTAACACTAAGATTGGTCAAATGCAGAGAAACCATTTCGTCACATAGTAGGCTACCTGTAGTGTGTAATGACAATACAAGTGAAAAAACAACCCTAATATCTTGTTTAAGAAAATAGAGATGAAACTGAATGAAAAATGCACATGTGAAGTTATACAAGTGGGAAATAACAAAGCTAATGGTGAATACAATGTTGAAGAAGGACCCAAAGAAAGAAAAGAGAGCAGAGCTAGCCCACTTTCTGTCCACCTTATGTGATGTCTAAAGTTATGCCTAATTATTTTCAAAGCCTATTGGAACTCCAGAATAAAAAATATACCAGCAAAAAACGATGTGTTTTGTATGGCGTATGAAATGTATGGTTTTACCGTTTTAAACTATTTTCTGGGGAGGTTATGCTTTGGGTAAGTTGTATTGCATTTATCGATTTTAAGGTTGTGATTGGGCTGAAAACGATCACCACTGACTGGCACGCGTTTTCAGTTAATGAGGACAATGGGATATCATCATAGTAATAAAGGTTAACTGTAGTAGCCTTCACAGCGTTTTTCTTAAATGGTAAATTGAAAAGTAATAATGTACTTTGGTTGAGCAGGCCAAATTCACAAACACTAGCTTGATATATTTATATTTCATTTTCAATACATTTACAAATGAGTGCCTTGTTTTAATCTTCCATCATATTATTGTTGTTACACTGACAGAGAATGAAAGTACACGTAAGAGCCGAGCAATGAAAATGACTGTAATTCTTTAAACCAAAAAGCCAACAGGAAGCAGAGACATGCTCTTATTTAGCTGATCATTAACAGTCTTATACTATATGTTATGATCAATGGTCAGCACTTATGTAAGTCCACATAGTTTCACGTGGTCCAGAAAGGAACATTGTAGCAGGAAGTAGATGACATAATATTGTGACTAAAAGACAGGTGGGTCTATTCACTGATCTGTAATGGCGTTATTTGTTGAAGATTGTGTACATTTATGGTAATCACTAGTGCATTACAGCAGGTGTCAAGGCCTCTGCGTGTACTTAATTTAATGTAGGCTATAACCTTTTGTCTAATACTGCCACCTAGTGACACAAAGTGAAACTGCATAAAGGAGGAGGATAAAGAGGAGCAGAACGTGAACACTTGTTGTCAAGAGGTGTGTAAGAGAAGGATATTTGTGCACACTTGCCTCTGAGATCCTTAATAATACTGTTTTGGGCCAGGTCCGAGCACACACACAGACCCACAGCCAGGCTGCGGGTGTGTGTGTGTGTGTGTGTGTGTGTGTGTGTGTGTGTGTGTGTGTGTGTGTGTGTGTGTGTGTGTGTGTGTGTGTGTGTGTGTGTGTGTGTGTGTGTGCGTGCTCCGGCCGAGCTCGGGCCGGGCCGGGCCTCGCCGTCCCGCAGACCCCACGCAGAAACCAGGAAACAACACCAGCAAGCCAGCTCACACTGTCCGCTCCAGCAGCGAGCCCCGCAACATCCCGCTAACACGGCACCCAGACCCCACGCAGCATTCTCATCTGTTAGTCATTACTGGTGTCATTTTCTGGTTGCTAACAAACGCCATGGTAACACATAATCACTGATGTTCCGCTGTAACGGTGGTAGACTCATCAGAACAGAGTGGGCGAGCTGACCAATCAGAGCACACTGGGCTAACAGGGAGGGGGGGGCAGGAGCTCCAACAAGGCGTGTAGGACAGAGAGTGAATACACATACTATACAGAGATGCTGTATGAGAAACCAATGTGAGTTTGGAACATTGAACAATGTAAATCTATTCTAGTAGACCTCAACAATGGAATTATGATCAGTAGAAATGGCCATGACATGGGACCTTTAAAGAAAATATCTCTCAGAGGGGCGTTCGGAGTAGCTCCTTATTTTCATCTAAAGTAACAGACAGAGGCCCCGTCTCAGGTCGACTATTTTCATTTCCTCGCTCCTCGGTCTCACCGGAAGTTGATTTGTCTGCGCCATCTTGAGTACCGTCCCATGGCTCTTATTTCTGCCGGAGGACCGAGGATCGAGGAGCGATAATGGAGGAGCGATAATGGAGGAGCGATAACCGAGGAACCACCAGACCATCCTACGGCTGCTTCTCAGGTCGATTAAATGAAATCCTTGCTTCCCTCACTTGCGTCGTTTCCCTGCGTTTAGTCCCTCCCACCAGGGAAGCATGGAGGGACGAAAGGAAACCACGAGAAGCAGGGAAATGAGTTTTAAGAGCAATGGGACGTCCTTTCCTCCGGAGCGTCACGTGAAGCGACGTCCGTTTGTGATGACGCTGCACAGCTGATCGTCTGACAGCAGGCTTGTTTGAGACAAGCGAAACCTGCGCAATTTCGATCAACGTCTTGCTCGTGCGTTGCATGATGGTTAGTCATTTTGTCCGACTTGCTCTGGAGGCTCGCCTACATGAGACGTTGAAATCTCGCGGGACAAAGACGCCCGCAGCCTTGAGAGCGAGGCGGCGCAGTTCCTAGGCTTGTTTGAGACGCGTTGCGGCTCGCCTCAAAAGTAGACGAGAATAGCCGATCGCAGCCGGGGGAGGTCTCAAAAAGCTCGCCTGAAGTCGGACAGCTCGGAGTCCATGCTCGGAGTCGGCTTCGTCTTCTTCTTCTTCTCTCGGTTTTTTGGCGGATTGCAAACAGCTTGAAGGTGCATACCGCCACCTCCGGAGTCGGCTTGACTCGGTTTGCATTTATAAAGAATGCACACATGTGTTTAATCGTTAATGTCAGATATGTACTAAGTAAATACATTTGTTCCTGCTCCAGATTAGATTCAACTTTATTGTTATTGCACATATTACAGGTACTGAGACAACGAAATGCAGTTTAGCTTCTAACCAGGTGCAACAAGCAGTAAAGTGAAAAGTAATGTACACAATCTACAGAATAACATATAGAATGAATTGAATGATGAATAAACAGTGAGGGCTATGAATACACTAGATATCAGCCTGTGAGCAGTATGAACAGTGTGTATGAATATGCTAAGATATATAAAGTATGAAAACGGTAAGCAGTGCAAGTATAGTATAAAATATATAGATATTCATTTCATGATGATAAATATTGTGGAACAATGATGAAAAATGTGAATGGAAGTGGCGACGTAAAACTGACACAAAACAACAACAACATTTTGCCAGCCAATTGGAGAGTTTCATCAGCAGCACGTGGTAAAAACCACCAATGAGCGCTCAGCTCGAGATACCAGCTAGCCGTTTCCCATCAAGCATTTCGCTTCCGCAGCCCGTGGAGAGCAACTGCGCCAACTCGCCTCGCCTCGCTCTCAAGGCTGCAGGCGTCTTTGTCCCGCGAAATTTCAAAGTCTCATGTGGGCGGGCCTCCAGAGCAAGTCGGACAAAATGAATAACCATCATGCAACGCACTAGCAAGACGTTGATCGCAACTGCGCAGGTCTGCGCAGGTCTTGCTTGTCTCAAACAAGCCTCCTCTCTACGGGCTGCGGAAGCTAAATGCTTGATGGGAAACGACTCGCTGGTATCTCGAGCTGAGCGCTCATTGGTGGTTTTTACCACGTGCTGCTGATGAAACTCTCCAATTGGCTCGGCAAAATGTTGTTGTTGTTTTGTGTCAGTTTTACGTCGCCACTTCCATTCACATTTTTCATCATTGTTCCACAATATTTATCATCATTAAATTAATATCCATATATTTTGTACTATACTTGCACTGCTTACCGTTTTCATACTTTATATATCTTAGCATATTCATACACACTGTTCATACTGCTCACAGGCTGATATCTAGTGTATTCATACCCCTCACTGTTTATTCATCATTCAATTCATTCTATATGTTATTCTGTAGATTGTGTACATTACTTTTCACTTTACTGCTTGTTGCACCTGGTTAGAAGCTACACTGCATTTCGTTGTCTCAGTACCTGTAATATGTGCAATAACAATAAAGTTGAATCTAATCTTGAGCAGGAACAAATGTATTTATTTAGTACATATCTGACATTAACGATTAAACACATGTGTGCATTCTTTATAAATGCAAACCGAGTCAAGCCGACTCCGGAGGTGGCGGTATGCATCTTAAAGTTGTTTGCAATCCGCCAAAAAACCGAGAGAAGAAGAAGAAGACGAAGCCGACTCCGAGGATGCTTCTCAGGTCGACTATTTTCATTTCCTCGCTCCTCGGTCCTCGGTCTCACCGGAAGTTGATTTGCCTGCGCCATCTTGAGTACCGTCCCATGGCTCTTATTTCTGCCGGAGGACCGAGGATCGAGGATCGAGGAGCGAGGAGCGATCATGGAGGAGCGATAACCGAGGAACCACCAGACCATCCTCCGATGAAAT